TAGGATTGGCTACATTAGGGGTGTGTGGCCTAACATGCAAAGGGTTCCTGCTACAAAAAAAGCCCTGGGTTTTGACAACAGACAAGATAAACAGAATAAGAATCAAAAGGTGGGTGTGGCTGGATGACCACACTTCTGGTAACGTGGGGGTGCGGCCTAATGTGCGAATGAGCTGCTCTGTCAGGGGTGTGGCCTAATATGCTAATGGATTTCTGCGGTTGGGTGTGGCCTATTATGCTAATGAGTTCCTGCTGGGCTTTTTCTACAAAAAGAGCCCTGGGAGGACCTTCTATCTATCACCCATAGAGAAGCGCTTCTTTCTCCCCATAGGGCTGCCAGATCCAGGTTGGGAAACTCTTGGAGATCCAGGGGTGCAGCCCGTGGAGGACAGGGACCTCAGTGGCATACGAGGCCACAGAGTCCACCCTCCAAAGCATCCCTTTTCTCCAGGGGGAACTGATCTCTGTAGTCTGGAGATGAGCTGTAATACTGAGATCCCCAAGTGCTACTTGGAAGCTGGCGGCCCTATGAAAGCATGCTGAGAACAAGAAAGTCCTCGTACGACTTCACTTTGCGATGCTTTGTGAGGAGGAGAGAAAGGGTGGAATGCACGTCTGTGCGCAAAGAGTACGTGCAAAGCAGGAGGCACGCCTCCCTGAGTAAACCTGAGGATATACTTCGTGCTGTTTACAGTACTCGGCTTAATGTCCCTCTTGGAAGAAAATCCCGGCCAACGCGGGCCGTCGTGAGTTAGTGGTAGAATCCTGCGACTGAGCACCTTAGTGCACAACTCGCTGGCAATTTTTCTGCAATGAGTCGTGTTGCCAGCCTCCAGGTGTTGGCTGGAGATCTCCTGCCGTTACAGTTCACCTCCAGGTGGCAGAGATCCACTCGCCTGGAGAAAACGGCCACCCTGGAAGGTGAACTCTATCGATTCATATCCCACCGAAGTCCCGCCCCTCCCCAAACTCCACCCTCCTCAGGCCCCACCCCCTAAATCTCCAGGTATTTTCCAACCTGGAGCTGGAAACCCTAGGGAGGGACACGGGCTTGCCAATTTCCAGGTGGGAGCTGGAGATTTGCCAGTTACGGTCCATCTCCAGACAAGAGAGATCAGTTCCCCTGGAGAAAACGGATGCTTTTGAGGGAGAACTCTACGGCACTGTAACCCACCAAGGTCTCTTCCCTCCCAAACCCCGCCCTCCCCAGGCTCCAACTCCAAATCTCCAGGAACCTCCCAACCCAGAGTCGGTACCCCTAGAGCAGTGATGGCGAACCTTTTAGAGGCCGAGTGCCCAAACTGCGACCCAAAACCCACTTATTGATCGCAAAGTGCCAACATGGCAATCTAACCTGAATACTGAGGTTTTACTTTAGAAAAAACAACTCACACATTAACTTAAGAGGATCCAAACAAAGTAAGGAAAGCAATCCCAAATGCTTTCATTTACTTGAAATTATTTGACAGAGAATTCGACACTTTCATTATGGTCTGGGCCTGGCTGGGGCGATGGCACGCGTGCCCACAGAGAGGGCTCTGAGCGCCACCACTGGCACCCGTGCCGTAGGTTCGCCACCACTGCCCTAGAGGGACACACTACTTTGCTGCCAGAAAAATGGGACAGGTTGCTTCCTGTCTGGTTCTCGGTCAAGTGCCAGATTCCGCATTTGGTGGAAGCACCACCTCGAATTTCCCACTTGCCTCCAGAACCGCCAGGTCCCCCTAAAAGAGCGGAGTGGCATGCCATTTCTGCAGCCCTACCAAGTGTTTCTCAGCCACCTGCCTTGCAGTGGGAGACAAACTCGAGGGAGAATGCAGGATTCCCATTTGAGTAAATGCCGATTTAAGCTCCAGGCATGAAAAATCAACCAATGGATCCTCGTTGTAGATTTAACCAGGGAACTAGATGGGATCCTGCTGACCGCTTAGCTTCAGGGAAGCCCTCGAGGCCTCCGTCTGCACGGTCGGCAGAGGTAGATGCTCGTATTCTTGCTCCGAAGGGCGGCGGCGGCAACTGAGGAGCAGGGCCTTCACTTCCTTCTTGAAGTTTTTGTTCAGAAAGCCGTAAATGATGGGGTTGACGCAGGCCGAAGCCATGCCGGTCAGGTGGCACAGCGAGAAGATCAAGTCGTGGAGGCAGTGGGAGATGAGTTTGTAGTCCCAGTCGTTGATGCCATTGAAAACATGCAACGGCAGCCAGCAGATGGCAAAGGCAGCCACCATGACAGCCAGCAAGAGATTAATGTGCGTCAAGTGGATCGTCCGGCGGCTGGGCTCACTCTTCTCAAACATGCCCTTTCTCTTCTGGAGGCGAAGGTAGATGCGCAGGTAGCACACCAGGATGGCGGCAAGGGGGACGCAATACTGTAGCAGCATCAGAACTGTGGCGTAGGCGAGCCTGTACTCCTCGGAAGACCAGAGGCAAGTGCAGATGGCCTTATCCGCATACGTGTCCACAATGCCGGCGTACCACTTGAAGGCGCCGACTCTCAGGGTCGAGTTGGTCACGAATGGCAGGGACAAGAGAGAAGCAAAGATCCAAGTGGCCGCGATGCCCTGGTAGGCTTGGGAGAAGCCGGGCCTCCAGCCCGTGGGGTTGAGGATGAGCTGGTGCCTTTCGACGGCGATGAGGACGAGAGACAGGATGGACACCGTCATGGACGTGCACTGGATAAAGTTGGTCATCTTGCACATGGCCGCCCCAAATACCCAGTAGTTCAACAAGATGGTGACGACAGTGAAGGGCAGGCAGAAGATGCACATGAGCAACTCTGAAGCAATCAGATTGGTGATCAGAACGTTGGTGGCGGTGGCTTTTTCCTTCTGCCTGGCGAGGATCCCCATCAAGCACGTGTTTCCTAGAATTCCCAAGACAGTCTCCAAACTATACGAGGTGGCCAGAAAGATGGTCAGGTCCGTAGTGTTCTGACAGCGGAGAAGATGATATGGGAGACTCCAGTTTCTTTGGGGTAGGATCACTGTGCTGAAAGCCACGGTCCTATTCATTCTGAAACCAGCAGGACGTTGGGTGACGACTTAGGAACTTTCCTGATTGCAAGAAGAGTTACCAGTAGAATGATCTGCAAAGGAAAAGAAGAGAGTTCAGTTTGACATTGATACAGTGCAGGCCCCTAGCCAGGATTTTGGGGCTTGTGGGGCAATTTTTTTTTTCTGGTGGGGCTGAAGTTCTCAGTGCAGAAAGAAAAGCCAGAATTCTGAGGACTATGACGCAGCTACTGTGGAACTGAGCCTTTTAAATCCAAAGCAAATCCAAAGCAAATCTTAGCCCCAGAGTGTGACAATGGCAGGCTTCCAAGGGGGGTGGGGAGAATAAATTTTGTGGTAGATGGTGGGCGTGGCACTGGAAATACTGGGTTTGGCCAGTAAACTCACTCCAATTTGTATAAAAACACATAAAACTTTATTTACAAAAGCAAAGGACAAACACAAGGGGGAAGAATGTATACAGTTCAGGAAGGCATGGAAACCAAAACAAAAAACCTAGCTGGCTATTCTACACACTACTTTTCATATCAGGAGGTGCGTAGCTCTGGCATCTCAACTGGTTTTCCTGATGAGCAGAGTCTCTGGAAGCATAGCAGCAGGGTAGTTGAAGAGAGCCTCAAGGCAGTCTCTTCTCTTGCTGAGTCTTCTTGAGCTGTCTATTCTACATAGGTGTTCTTTATCATTTAGCCAATAGAAAGCTGTTGCCAGGATAGACTGCAAGCTGTCAACCACTTTAGATGACAGTTCTCAGCTGCTATAAATTAATCACTCCTGCCAGCCTAAGCAACAATTCTGAGAACAAGCCGGCAGGTGGGGGTGATGACCACTATAGTCAAGAAAGCGAACACTTGGGCAGAAAGACTCTCTTAAAGGAGACCAGTTTCTTGACACAGAGTTAGAAGGTATCCTAGAGGTCACCTACTCCAACCCCCTTGCTCAGTGCCAGAATTAGTCAATTACAGCACTCCACTGTGCTTAAAGGAGCTCACGCCATTAAGAAAAATGTTTTAAAATGATTGAGAAAAACATCTACATGAGAAATTACAGGAGAAAGGCTGTGCCTTTAAGAAAGGGGGTGGAGCCCCCAGAAGCCCCACCGTAGCTACAGGTCTGATATAGTATTGACAACACTCAGGGAAACAAGACAAGAGAAGCATGAAATGGAGACAGAGGCCAGAATGGGCCCGATCCAGGGCACCACACCAACCACCAGTTGGAACTACCCAGGGCTATTTTGGGGCAGGAACGCACAGGAACGGAGTTCTGGCTGGCTCCCGAGTTGGCCATGCCCAGCAGGAACTCATTAGCATAACAGGCCACACCCAACAGCAGGAACTCATTAGGACTGGCTACATTCGGGGTGTGTGGCCTAACATGCAAAGGAGTTCCTGCTACAAAAAAGCCCTGGGTTTTGACAACAAACAAGGTCAACAGAATAAGAAGCAAAAGGTGGGTATGGCTGGATGACCACACTTCTGGTAACATGGGGGTGCGGCCTAATGGGCTAATGAGCTGTGCTGTCAGGGGTGTGGCCTAATATGCTAATAGGTTTCTGCTGTTGGGTGTGGCCTATTATGCTAATGAGTTCCTGCTGGCCTTTTTCTACAAAAAGAGCCCTGGAACTACCACATCAGCTATGATGACAGGGGGCATTCAGTTGTTGTGCTGGGGGGGCTCTCTTGTTCTGGTGCGGCTCCTGCCCCATTGAGTGTGGAGGGCACCATCAAGCTGCAGCGGGCTTAAGGCAACTTCTGTAGGGTTTCCAAGGCAAGAGGTGGACAGAGGTGGTTCTCCATCGCCCGCCTCTATGCCGTGACCCTGGACGTCCTTGGTGATCTCCCATTGTTGGAATTGCAAGTTGCTTACACTTCAGTCCTTACAGAGTTAAATGTTGTTTGTTAGGAAACAGGATGTTACGTTACATAATGTATTCAACGGCGGGAAAGTTTGTGGGAGTTGTTTACCCTAATGAAGTGACCTGTAACCTTTGTATTGGTCAACTAACATCTTGTTTGTGGAAATGCTTTGATCTAGCATTAATGTATTCACAAGGTTTATGGCCCTTTGTGTGAACCAAAGAGGAAGTTCTCTTCTAGAAGCCAGGACAAGTTAGAAAGATGTAGCTGTTAGCATGTATTACTGAGAGTAACTGCAAGTATGTAACCTTTTATTTTATTTATTTTATCCAAAGTACCTTACCCATGTTTTATTTTGTTTTTATAGTAAAGATATTTTTCTTTTACTAAGTTGTGGCTCTTGTGTTTGCAATACAACCATCGACCCTGAATCAAAGAATCCTAACACCCATCCAAGTGCTAACCAGGACCCTGCTTAGCACCTGGTCAGAAATGACCGGCGGGGGGGGGGGATTGTAGTGGAACACTGCAGAAGATTACTGTATGTTGAGGAGGCAGGTGGTGAGCCACACAGCCCTTCTCCAGGCGAATAACAGTCTCAAGGCAGCAGGGGATTAAGAGCATCTGGTGGTAGGAACGCAGTAGAAGAGTGGGCGAGGTCTCTGAGGAAGAAGCTGAGCTTGTTCGTGGGATGGCAGCAAGCCGGTGGGAAGGCAGTACACCCCAGGCCAGGAAGCAAGCGACAAGCAAGGCGGACAGCAAAGGCTTGGTGGCTCCAGCGCAGGTGTTTTTGGACTGCTGGATGTCTTGAGAAGACTTCTACTACAGGTAATCAGGGCTCTTTTTGTAGAAAAAGCCCAGCAGGAACTCATTAGCATAGTAGGCCACACCCAACAGCAGAATCTCATTAGCATATTAGGCCACACCTCTGACAGCACAGCTCTTTAGCACATTAGGATGCACCCCCATGTTGCCAGAAGTGTGGTTATCCAACCACACCCACCTTTTGCTTGTTGTTCTGTTTACCTTGTTTGTTGTCAAAACCCAGGGCCTTTTTTTGTAGCAGGAATTTCTTTGCATGTTAGGCCACACACCCCGAATGTAGCCAATCCTAATGAGTTCCTGCTGTTGGGTGTGGCCTATTATGCTAATGAGTTCCTGCTGGGCATGGCCAACTTGGGAGCCAGCCGAAACTCCGTTCCTGTGCGTTCCTGCCCAAAAATAGCCCTGCAGGTAATTATTGGCCCTGGTCACATGGAGCATTTCCTGCACTGATGGCACGATTCTCCCGCGGAGTTTTCTGGCGCGATCACACCAGAACATCTGGGAGGCGTAGCGTTCCCATAGCGAACCCGTGGCGTCCTGCCGAAGACGCGCATTAAAAAAATACCTGGGACGACCTACTGGCAAATGGTTTGCCATGGGCTGCATGCGGATTCCCCCGGTGTGATCGCGCCGGTGCGCAGCTTTCTCTCCCGTCATCCTGTTTGCCGCGGGTGCCAAAGGAGGAAGCCGCCGTCGCGTCTGAACGTATAATCATGGATCAAACTGCGACGGCGCAAATAGACACGCCCCCCCCCCGCGTTATCCGGCCCGTGTGACCGGGGCCATTGCTGTTTATTTTGTGCTGAATAAAGCTGCATTCCTTGTTCCAAATTGCTTGTTGGAACCCATTTGAACCATGGGTGACACAGGGGACCCTGTTAAAATACAAAGTGGCACAGTCTCCATAAGTCATTTTCGACTATCAGCAGAATACTGGCTAGAGGTGCCAGTAATTCATTGGAGAGGGCCTGTTCCTGGTTTTGTTGGGCCCTGGCATCAATACAAAGTGAAAGGCTGCATAAGTTCACACAAAGAAATTAATGCTGAAATCCAACTTCCATGTTGTTTATAATTCTTGTATTTCAACAGGTGAACATCATCCAGACACCAGAGTGTCAACAAGATGTACAGAACAGGTCTCCGCCGACGAACTTCTCGAGTTTTGCCGTTCGTTTCGAGAACAATCTTTATCAAACTTCAATTTCCAGTGGTCCTTTCACAGTCTAATTCACCACTAAGGTATCCAAACATTCAGGAAGGCTTCTAACAGCTCTTATCACCAACCATTATTATTTCACTGTAAGTGAAATAATAATGTAAGTGTGGAAACTTACTGTCCACAGTGAAATATTAATGGTTGGCAAAGAAGGACTTCTTTTTTATCCATTCTAAGCCTATTGCTCATTAATTTCATTGAGTTCCCATGAGTCCTTGTCTTGTGAGAAAGGGAGAAAAGTTCTTATTTCTCTGCCTTCTCTATGCCAGGCATAATTTGTAAACCTCTATTGTTTCACCCAGGGCTTTTTTTGTAGAAAAAGCCCAGCAGGAACTCATTAGCATAATAGGCCACACCCAACAACAGAAACTCATTAGCATATCCAGCCACACCCATGAGAGCATAGCTCATTCGCATATCAGGCCACACCCCCATGTTACCAAAAGTGCGGTCATCCAACCACACCCACCTTTTGCTTCTTATTCTGTTTACCTTGTTTGTTGTCAAAACCCAGGGCCTTTTTTTGTAGCAGGATTTTCGCCCACCATTTTTCTTTTAGGTCGGCGATATGCGCTTGGGTGAAGCTTTGCCCCGGCGTTTGTTTAAAAAAGAAAAGAAAAGGTCCTTAGTTTAACTTTTAGAGGAGTCCAGGACCTCAGAGAGGCCACTTTGCTCTTTAAACTTTAAAGGTAAGTCCTTACCTTTAAACTTTAAATGTAAGATGGGGTGTTTTGCGCATGCGTGAAGATCTCCATTCTGTGGATGGCTGCCTATGCGCATGTGCAAACTGTGTTAAAAAACAAACAAACTGCCAATGCCCGCTGTGTGTGAATGGGCATACAGCGATGGGCTCCGCAGACAGGAGGTAAGTGTGATCGCATTTCAGCTGGCATAAACTGCACCGGTTCCAACCTGTACAGTTTATGCCGGCTGAAACACCCCGTCTGAACGCACCCACCCTGTGCCAACTGGCTCTCCCTTTTCCTCTGCCTCCCAAAATTATTGCTCCCCTCACATATACACATGCACCAAGTGGTTAAGATGCTGAACTGCAGGCTGGAAGGTTGTTCGTTCAGCAGTTCGAGACCCGAGTGTGCCGCATG